CGGGCGGGGAGACGTGAACATCTGTCCGGGGGAGTGTAAGAGAAGGATCCAGCAGCTGTTGAAAGCCAAGCTGCAAAGGTGGTGTTTAGACTGCAGTTTTTATTCCCTCCACCACCACCACCACATCTTTAACCCATCAGCACAAATAAAGAGAGTGTCACTGGTTCAAACTACAGGGTTTTAAAAATGTCTTCAGCTTTAATTGAAAAAAAAAGGAAAAGAAAAAAAAACAAAGAAAACTTCAGGTTTCTTTCTCTATTTTTGTTGAAAATTTAATTTTTTTTCTGAGCCTTTGTTTTACCATATATTGTAAACTTTATGTTTAAAGAAAAAGAAGAAGAAAAAAAATATATACATTTACAGATTGTGAGATTTTTAAGAGAAATTTTCTACTATGTATGCTGGCTTATTTTTTAATTTAAAGGAGAAAACAAGAAAAACCACAGGGTTTTCCATTAGCACTGTTTAGACGTAAGCGAGGGTCAGCTCCCAGCCGCCTGGTTTTGGGCGGTCGGGTTGGGTCGGTCCCGAAAACGGGATGTTTGGAGAAACGAAAGGAATCTACTGTGTGTGTTGTTGTTGCTGTTGCTGGTTTCCGAGCTGAGGAGCAATGCGGGAACCGGCTCGTTTCGAAGAAGGCACCGTGTCACTTGGGAAGCCCAGGGTTTCAGCCTGGGCTTCAGTTCTTTAAAAAAAAATCCTTTGGCGATGTAGATTTCTTTAAGGGGGTTCATGGAGGCCTTGTTGAGATGTAGATTTCCCTCAGGCAACAAAAAATAAAATAAAAAAAACACATGAACAACCATTTTGGGGTGCATTTTGCACTAGCCAGTGATTACCCCTGGTTTGAATAAAGAGAAGTACATTTGGATTAGAAACACAAGCTTGTGTCTGCTCGTCTTTCTAAACTGCCCCTCTTTGCCTTCTTCACACGTGCAACCTTGCTTGAATGTCCCCACCCGCCCATCCGTTGCAAAGATCAGGAGGAGTGTGATTTTGTGCCGGAACAGTGTTCAGACTCGCCATTTTGCGCCAGTCTTTCGGTTTGGGTCCAGAGGCCTCCCGTGAGTCGTCGGCAAAAGCCGAAGTGTTTCAGGGACAGATGGCAGATGTCACTGAATGCGCCGTTTCCAGCAACTCCTGCGTCTTCGGAGTCACGATGCGCTTTATGTGTTTTTCAGGTCTTGTCTCTTTAAATTCCTCTCTGATCTCCTGGCCCAGAGTCTTCTGAGCCTCGCACTTAGGCCTTGGCGTGCCTCGCTTTTAAATCCAGAGGCGAAGGAGCTGGCAAACGCCCTGCGGTTGCATTTCTCCGTAATTCGAGAAGGGGCATTGCAGGAAAGGGACCCTCTGGATCATTGGATCTGGCAGGGAATTGAACCCTCAATCTCTGTTTCCTCAGGCAGAGACTGAACCCCTGAGCTATCCTGGGTCTTGACAGGTAAGGACGGAGGGACCCATGGCTTGTGTGAAAGGAGCGGGGTGTCATCCCACACATTGCTGAAAGAGAAAGGTGTGCAACTCCGACGACCACACAGTACCCCAGATCCAGCATTTTTTCATCCTTTTTGCTCCCTCCCTTCTGCGAGCAGAAAGCCATGATCCAATTGGCATTTTTTTCGAACCCGGACCAGAGGGTATTTCTCTCATCTTTAAGGCTCATCCACAGCCAGCGGCTTTGGGGGGGGGGTTGTTTTAAGATCATGCCCCGCTGTGGCCCTCCAGATGTTTTAGCATCCCCTTCCTGCACCCCCGGCTGGCGTGAAGGAGGGCTGGGTTTGCAGCCCAAAGACGCATGGAATGCCACAGCTGCCCATCTGGCCTTTGGGAGCTCCGAGTTCTGCTTCTTGGCGCGTTGAGACCCGACTGCGCCCACGCGTCCGAGGACCATGTGAAGACAGCGCATGGGCTAGCCTTGAGAAAAACCCCAGCTTGCTGATTTTCGAAAGGATGGGTTTCTGCATCGGTCCAAGACTGGTGAAAGAAAAGGGGGAAATGGGGTAGCATCTTATACTAGCCTCCAAGAGTTGTTTTGGATCCCAAAAGGCTCCCACTGAAATAAACTCTCGAAAGTGCCATAATATTTTCCTTTTTTAAAAAAATTCTTAACCTGTTGAGAGAAACAGCAACTTCTTTGGAAATGCCCACTCCCGGTGACCCTACAGGTTCTGGGCCTCCAGAAAGCCCTGTCCTTAAAAGTCCTGCTCAAGGCTGAGAAACAAAAAATTGTGGATTCCTTTCTGAGTCGACTCACCTCAATTTCAGGTCTTCCTCTTTTCCTACTGCTTTCACCTTTTCCTAGCCTGGCTGCGTTTCTAGTCAGCCTGGTCTTCTCATGATACATCAGCCATACGAAAGAGTGACCACGGGCTGTTTTTGAAGACCACACTCTACTTTTTATTTAGGGGGGGGGACACATGTATTGGAGCAGTATTTTGACCTATCCAGCTGAGCAAATGGTTAAAGGATTTGGGGAGTTGTAGTCCAACGCCTATAGCGGACCAAAGTTTACTCCTATGGCTGGGGAACATTTACAGGGCGGTTTTTGTGGATGATAGGAGTTGTGATCCAGAAGAGCTGCAGAAAAGCTGTTCCGCGCATGCGCCAGTGAGTCGCCTGCAACTCAGCCTTCAGCTTAAAGCCTACCTCGCAGGGTAGGTGTGTGGATTAAAGTTTAGAGGTAGGAAGCCCCTTCTATAATAAAAGCAATAATGATCACCCCACCCCTGCAAGGCCTTTTCCCGCAATTTGAATGAAAGCATGAAAAGCGTTAAGAGGAACCTCCTCCTTACAGCCGGTCGCGGTCGGGTCCTTTAAGCGAGCTGCGCACGCGCAGAGCCAACCGCGGCGCCGGCTTGTGGGCGGAAGCGGCCGCGCCGAAATCCCTTTCGGTGCGTGTGGGCGTGGCCATGGACGGGAAGTCCTCCGCCCTCCCGGAAGTTGTCCCGTTTGCGAGATTCAAGCACGAACTCGCGCGAGAGCTCGCTCTTTTCCCGGAGAGGTCGGCGTCCAAGATGGTGGGTATTGGAGTGGCATCGCGCCGGCGGGGGGGAGGGAGCTTTTTTATCCGAATCCATCCGGGCGGTTGAGGGCTAGGGGCCCGTTTAGACAGCGCCTCGGGCATCCTGCGGGTTGGGGCGGCTGAGCCGAGGGGCCTGGGAGGGAGGGAGAGAGGCGGTGGGGAACGGGGCGCCATCCCGGGGCTGCCTTGCTGGTTCCTTCGAAGGAACGCGAGGGGGGGCGTTACTTTCTCTCCCCCAAAAGTAACGCTTCGGCAGCTCCGTCGCCTCCCCACGACCCTGGCTTTCCAAAACCAGGGTAACGTGGTGGATGGAGGGAGATCCATAGCAATGCCTCTGAGCGTGTGCAGAGGCAGCACCCCTTACACCCCATTATTTTGAGAGGAAAACAACCTATTTAAAGAAAGTGAGGAATATCCGTGTGTAAATTTAAATACGCAGTATCCTCTGAGCACGTGCAGAGAGAGGGCAAGCCCTCCTGCCCCATGGATGGAGGGGGTGGGAGGAGTTATTTAAAGAAAGAGGAGAAGATACGTGTGCCAAGGGGTGTTATTGGAATCAACAGGGCCTCTGAGCATGTGCAGAGGGGGAGCCACCCCATGCCTTGCCCTTGCTTGACTGAAAGCCAGTCAGGTTTGGGGCCCTTCTATCCGTCCTTAGGATAATGCAGCAGCGTTTTAAAAGGAAATGGTTTTCCTCTTTTCCCGGCAGGCGGAAGTGGAACAGAAGAAGAAGCGCACCTTCAGGAAGTTCACCTATCGCGGGGTGGACCTCGACCAGCTGCTGGACATGTCCTAGTAAGGGGGTCTTCCTCTTTCCATGGGTCACAAGGAGGTGGGAGATGGTATTTTGAGAAAGCGGATAGCCCAGAGGCAGCGGTGGGCCAGTTTTTGTGGTCTGTGGCAGGTAGATTGCACCTATACATGGAGGATCTCCAGCCGACCACAGAATCCAGTATTCAGTTCCCAGCTGTGGGCAGCAAGATGCCCCCAAGGCAGGACAGGGAGGAGCCCTTACCTGATGGGATTTTCCAGCCGCTGAGAGGGGATGAATTTGATCTTGGAGTGAATGTCCAGAAATCAGAACCGGTAGCCACGAAAGTCTGAAAACGCTCAGGGCTGCAAATTCAAGTCTTGAAAACTTCATTTAGATAGGCGAGTGGGGTGGATCGGAAGAGCCTAGGGAGAAAGGGAGGGAAAAGAAGCTTCTACTTGTTCCTGTTTCTTAAGAATTTATTAGGGCTTTGGGTGCGGATAAGGGCCTGTGGGGTCAGGAGTTAGGGGGAGTCCCCCCTTTTGCTCAGAGCGTGTTTCCAGGGATCAGCACGAAGCTGACGGAGGGGCCTTCTCCTTGCCTTCCCCAGCGAGCAGCTGATGCAACTCTACAGTGCCCGCCAGCGCCGGCGGCTCAACCGGGGCCTGCGCCGCAAGCAGCACTCGCTCCTCAAGCGCCTCCGGAAGGCCAAGAAGGACGCCCCGCCGATGGAGAAGCCCGAGGTGGTCAAGACCCATCTGCGGGACATGATCATCCTTCCCGAGATGGTGGGGAGCATGGTTGGGGTGTACAACGGCAAGACCTTCAACCAGGTGGAAATCAAGGTGAGCCGCCTCGCAGGAGGATGATGATGGAGGAGGAGCAGGAGAAACAGCTGGGAGGGATCGTGGCCTGATCCTGGTTCTCCAGGCAAGGAGGGGAAGCGGTCAGGTCCAGGCTGTGGAGGCTGTGACAGAACATCAAGCGGAGGGGATGGAAATAAAATCTAGCAAAGTTAGGTCCTCCTGATGCGTTAAGACGACAATTCCCCAGAAATCCTCAGATCTGGGTTCCCTCCCCTCTTTCCCAGTGAAGGGCGTCGTGTTCGAGACTCGCCAGGAAGGCAGTCACAGTAGGAAAAGCCATAGGCAAGGAGGACCAGAAAAGTCCAAAGCTCATGTGTGCTTGGGATGTTTTTATGGCTTTATTCATTTATTTGTTTTGTTTATAAGGCCACCTTTCTCCCAGTCAAGGGGAACCAAGGCGGCTCCCCGTATTAAAAGGGATAGGATTAAAAATGTAAGATGTTAAACATTAGAAAAACAAATTAATAATGAAATCATTCATGCTTGACTTCGGTTTGTGTACCAGATAACCTGTTTTGTCCCCCTCCCCTCTCTTCCATCTGGAAGGCGGTATGTGTATTTTTCATAGACTTAATGCCTTTTTCTCCCCTTCTTTTTCAGCCTGAAATGATCGGCCACTACCTGGGAGAATTCTCCATCACCTACAAGCCTGTGAAGCACGGCCGACCGGGTATTGGGGCCACCCACTCCTCTCGGTTCATTCCTCTGAAATAAAAAGGGTGGTTTGGGAAGAACATGGATAGGTGTAAATAAAAAATAATAATTTCCCAGTGGGAAAACTGGTCTGTTCTTTTCACAGCTGTCTGGGTGCCTTTGGTGATCCAGGAAAAAAAATCACGACACTGTGGAAACTGTTAACCCAAGTTTCATGAAAAACAAGGCCGGCGTAAAGAAATGTGGAAAGCTGGCTGTACAAATAGACCCATGACTCCTTCATAAACCCCTAGTAAAAGTTCAGAACATGACCAGGACCGTGGACTTTTAAAGATCAAAACGATTTTTAAAAGCCTGCACCTGAGTATCATCATTACAGTTTTGATAATGTGCCAGATTATTAGTATAAGGAGATGTGGCTTCCCTTGGGTAGTTTCCACCCCTCCCAGACTCTAGTTTTTACTTACTTGTTCATTTAAAAGCAAACGGACCAGGTTTTAACCATCTTCTGGCCTGTTCTAGCCAGGGACGAGGTGCTTACTGTTTCGAAATAGGAAGTGAGCAAAAGTCACTGCTTTTAAAAAGAAAAAAAGACCATGTTTTGAGACAAGCCGGTGGCCAAAAGCTTGGGGAAATTGGTCTCATTATCCTCTTATAAATATTTGCTTGGGGAAACTGGGAGCCTTCATGTAAGCTGCAGTTTTTCCCTGTCGGCTCATTAAGTTCTCTGTCCTTCTCTCCTGCTCACAGCGTAACGGTGGCTGGTTCTCTCCGGGGAACCTAAAGTTGGCCCCTGAGTTCCACCAGATAATCGTAGAAAAGTACGCCGAGCTAATTCCATCCTCATCCATCCAGGCGGAGTGTAAAATGGCATCTCAGAAATCAGGTATCGGGTAGTGGTAGAGGAAGGGCCCTAACATGAACCAGTTTATTTTGTAAGAAATTTAAGACCGTCTCCTCAAAATGTATAGGTCACATTTGCAGGAAATGGGCATCCTTGTTCCAAGTTTTTGATTTTTTTAAGATACATAGTTGAGTTCCTGATGGTTACTAACCAGGCTTGTTAAAAATAGATCAGTCTGCCTTCCTTGGTAACTGGGTTTTCCAGGAAGCTTTAGTGACAAATCGAAATATATTAAATAACCCCAGCGTCATCCTCAGTGAGTCAGCATATATCCTCAGATGTAGAGATTTTCACTGGAAAAATCAGGTTTTCTCTGTCATGTGCTTCCAGAATCCCTGAGCTGGGTTTCTGGAAGCTGTCATCCAGGAAAACGTGATTTTGCTCACCTTTAGCTGAACACCGTGTGCGCAGATACTTGTGTGTTTATTGTCTGTGTATCATAGCGCTATCACACATCTTAGAATAACCAGAAGTAGAGTTTTGCTTAGGTTGAAAGCTCAATATTAGGCTCAAGTTCTGTCCTCCGAAGAGTGTCTTTAGCTCCTGACCCACCACATTTTAAGAACCTCTGGATAGCTCCGGAGTGGAGATCTCTGGCTCTGGAGCCAGAGGCTGAGAGTTTGAATCCCCCACCGGTGCCTCCTTGATGGGAACTGGACTTGGTGATCTCTAGGGGCCCCTTCCAGCCCTGCAGTTCTTAGAGCCTAAGCCCTGCCAGATTATATTTGACTGCAAATTTCGGGGTGCCTATTGGGTGGGTTTTGCTGCTTTTTGGTCTGTGGGAACTTTCCAGGTACTCAGTCTGTGGGAAAGTTGATTCCATCAGACAACACTTGTAAGCTTCAGACTAAAATCCGCAGTGCATTCAACATCGCCACCCCGAAACCTGTTACCAAGCCTGCCCACCAGTCCACCCTGGTTGCTCCACTTAGATTAGGTAATGCATTATTTAAGCTAGTAAAAATATCTTTTCACTATGACAAATCTTACAATCGTGTGCACGCAACACCCCATTCCTTTACACCTCCCCACATTCAAGAAGCTCTCTGTTATTTTACAGAAACGTGGCATATTTTAAGGGGAAAGACCAGCTTTGTGTGATGGGGTTCCCACACTGCAGGTCCAAGAGCCAGTTCAGCCCCCAGCAGATGTGATGGTGCGAGTTTGAATCTCTTAGATGAGTCAGTGGCTCACCCTGCTGTCCTGAATCTTCTTACGTTCATATATTCGTATTTATTCACTGAAATATTTCCAGCGTCACTTTTGCTGATCATCTTACCTCAGACGGCCATAAATCATGTTTTTGCATTTCAAAAACCTAAAACGGTTACTTAAATAGGTTTGCGGTGTGCCCTGTGGGAAGTAAGACAACGCACAGAAGGGTGGTGTCAATTTTTGTTTAAATCCTTACCTTCCCATTAAATGCAAAACCCCATTTTACTCCACTTCTAGTCTGGCTTGATAAGCCAAAATCATCATGTCTTGCCCAAGTTTTATTGAACTATTTACCTTAATTCCATTTTTTCTTCCTTCTCCCCCTGAGGAGTATTCTCAACAGCTCAAAAGCCTCTCTTGTCACTTTTTAATGAACCGACCAATAAAGGTATTGGCCCTCATTGATTTCCAACAGCGTAAAGTAATTTCAAAATAGCGATGCAGAGGCATCAATGAACACAGGTTTGGGGCAACCAGTAGCGTTCCAGTTGTTGGCCTATAATCCCTGAATCCTCCAGAGGTTAAGACTGCAAACCCGTCTGCTATGCTGGCTAGGATGATGGATGTGTTTCTTGAACATCTGAAAACCCAAAGGTTTCCACCAATCCCTCCTTCCAAGGGAAAAATCAACCGAGGATAAAGCCTGGTCTAAGGCAGAGCGTGGCTGGTGCTCAGGGACTGTGGGAGTTGTAGTCTGGAAAGCTACACTCAAGCCCTCCCTGTTGTCACCACCTTGCTTGAAAAGGAATCCAGAAACCGGGGAGGGGGGGCAGGACCCAATAAGGCCCTGCCTCTCCTGTCTACAAAAGCAAGGGATGTTTGTACAGTGGGGGATGGGGGTGGGGGAAGAGTCATTCAGATCATCTCGTCTTTCACATTGGGCGTGGACTTTGTCACTCTTAGAAATGAAAAATTTCCATATCTTGGAGAGTGGGTGGGAAACAGTTAAAAATGGAAATTTGCAATTTTACATCTCTAGTCACTCGTCTGCCTCCACGAAGCCCAATTGGAGACATTAAGCCCTATGGACCACGAGGGGCTGTTCCAATCGTCTTTTGGTGGGATTCGAGGCGCGGCACAAGACGTCGGTAGACGCTGGGTACAGTGCCACAAAGCAGAGAGCCACGGAGAGCCACGAAGCCCCAGCCAGGACAAGATTGAAGGCGTCTTTCCGGTCGGCCTTCTGGATGGTACACAGCGTCGTTTCGGCACAGGACGACGACGGAGGACAAGACAGGCTGGCCGGGTATCGGCCATAAAGGCTGTGAAACGTTGCTAGGAAGACACCTTCCAGCAGGATCTTGGCCAGGAGGCTGAGCCAGTGCAAGGAGAGTTGGTGGCTCTTACTCCGGAAGAGCCCCCAGCCTGAGCGGTCCTTCCCCTGGCAGTCAGGCGGGCGGAAGAGGAGAGCACAGGCCACGGCATGCGTGCCAACACTTGCCATCTGCAGCAGGAAGAGGTTGAAGGGCGAGAGCGGGAAGGTGCGGTCGAAGCAGGCGAGGAGGCAGCCCTGGGTGGGGGGTTCACACCGCAAATCGGCCACTTCATCCTTCCAGAGGGTCTTGGCCCCCAACGCCAGGGATCCCAGCCGGACCGCCGTGAGGACGGACAGGCCGGCCCGGCAAAGCCTGGGCGCCAGGACACTGGTCCCGCTCAGCAGGCGCGTGAGGGCATCTGTCTCCATGGGAGGCGAGTCTTTGGCTGGAATGGAAAAAAAAGCCACACTTAGAATCCCAGCTCGGCCACCGAAAAGGTGCAGGAAGACCGTTCGCTGATCCAGACCCTAAAGGTGTCAGCCGATCTTGGCTTGGCTTTCTTCCCAAACATGGCGGCTTCCTTGCACGTGGGCGTGCGAGCAAGCACCCAAAAGCCGTCTTAAAATCTCCTTTTGTGCCTTTTTTAAAACAAAGAATTTGTTTAATCCAAGTTTGTTTGTTCTGGAAAACTTCACAGCTGCTTTTTAGTCACCCCCAACCACCCCACCCCGGAAAAGTTGGGGTGGCCTACGAGAAAGGGACGCGTGCAAAAGCGCCATGAAAGGAGTAAAAATAACAAACAATAAAGCCAAAGGCAACAGCAAACCAATAAAATTTGGTAAATCTTAGAATCAGGGAGTTAGAAGGGGCGTGGGAGGCCATCCAGTCCAACCTCTAGGCAGGAACCCAAATCAAAACCATAGCCAATGTTGTGATTAGTTAATTATTCCTTACATATATCCTGTCTGACATATAGTGCTCTGCTCTCCTACTTTATCCTCACAACAGCCTGATAAGGTAGGCCAGGCTGACGAACCGACTGGCCTGAGGTCACCTCATTGTGATTTGAACTCAGGCCTCCTGAGCCGTAGCCCAGGATTCTAACGCCACTCGCATATGAAAATGGTCCATTGAATAAACATGTCTGAACCTAGAGATGAAATACGTAATGAGAGCACTCCTGGATCTTGGTTTCTGGCAATCCGGGGCGTCTGAGAAATTCTCTTCCAGCGCATTTCAAACAAATCTCTGGGAAAAGACCGTCTTTTGGCCTATAATCCCCTGTTACCAGCGTCCTGAGTCTGTGGAGGACGGGACGTCATGGTCCGCCAGGAATCAGAGGCAACTCGGCAGGGAAATGAAATTAGAGATAGTGCCGGAAGATGAGACTCTCAGGGCGGGGAAAAGTAAGCGTCATTTTAGAGATTGCTCATGCCTAGGGTCCCCTACGTCGGAGGCGACTTGATGAGAGGACCTGCGGTTAAGTGAGTAGCCTTCTAGGTAGTCAAACAGCAGACACACACACAGAAAGAGAGAGAGACCTGGCTAGCTCCTGCCAAAGTGCTGAAAAAAAATACATTTAAGGCGCCCTCTCAATTTTGGAGAACGAATGGATACAGTCCTTACCTGTTCAGGGTTTCCTCCTGGACTGGTCTGCTTGGAGGAGATGATGGCTCCACAGTGGCTTGTCCTTTCTCCCATCAAGGGCAGCAGAGAAAAGACTAGGAAATGCTTCACACCCCCCCCAAAAATACACACTCCCTTTCGTTCTATTTTGATATAAATAAGGCAGCGGCTTGAGATCTGGGTGAGGTTTCCAGTCTGGGTGAGTTTGGTGCAATCCAGACCGGTGGAGGGGGGGGGCGCGATCTCTCAGGCGTGGGTGAGTGTGTATATGCTGGCACAGGGTTGTTATTGTTTTTTCAGTTCATGCAATACCTCAAAGAAAGAATCTGAAGTTAATTGTGTCCTCTAGCGGCTTGTTGAGTTGGTAGGAAAGGCTTTCTTAGCCACCGCTTAAGTTGCCCTTTGGGTTGAGAAAGAGTGGGCGAAGACTATCCAGTGGGTTTTGTGGCATATGGGGGCTAGAACTCTGATTTCCCACCCTTCTCAAGATAGCAATCCTGTATCTAGAAGGAGTGCTCTCTCAAGTGGCAAAATGGTCATTCTGGACTACTGTATTTATATGTATGTTATGTATATGATATGATATGTGGAGGGTATTTGTTGCTGGATGGACTGAGTTGTTTTTTTAACAGCAGCCCCCGTTGAGCCTCCATTCTCCCAACCCTTGCCTGAGGAAGGGAACTTGATCCAGGCAAATTCGTGTTAAAATACAGCAGTCTTTCACGGCCACAACATTTTTGTCTTTAATTTTTATTTTTCAATTTTTTTAAAAAAAATCCCTTCCTCCTAAAACAACAACCCCGAGACCTTTAAGCAGTTTCGCCGTACACCCCAGTGATTTTCTGTGGCCAAGCCGAGATTCAAACCCGTGTCCGCCACCCTTCTGTTTTCTCGGAAGATCCAAAGTTGGCTCCAAGAAGGCCAGCCGCTCACCCACCAAAGTGTGCTAAATCAGATGGCCTTTAAAAAAAAAACTGTCATGCAGCCCCAAGAGGTACCTCCTCACATATACGATGGGGTGAAATAAATCACTTTTTTGAAGACATCCTGAAATTTGGCCTGCCCGAGGCAGCCTGCCTCACTTTGTCTCATGCCGAAGCCGGCCCTGATCCTGGCAACTGCCCACTCCTCTCCCTCCTCCAGCAAGCTCTGCCTTTCTGCCCCCCCCCCAGCCACCATCATCCTCATTTTTTCACCCTAGCAACCCAGATTCCTTTGCTCTCCACCGTCCTCTAGCGCTCAGAGATGGACCCGTGATGTCATTCTCTCTTTCCCGCAAACCAAGCCCCTCCGCGGGAAGGAGGCAGCAGATCTCGCCCGCCCTGGCTGGTGAAGGATGCTCAATCCATGGGATTACTCTGGTTCCTCTCGTTTCTGCATTCCACCTTCTTTGGCGAACAGGTAAGGCCGAATTTGATTCCCATTCCCTTGCATTTCTTTTGCCTGTTTTCCCCCTTACCCCTTTTTGACAAAGGCTCTCTCCCTGTGATGCCAAACCAGGCACCGAAAACCCGGTTCGTCGCAGAAATTGGATTCTGCTTCCTAGCTGTGCATTTATTTTTAAAAAGAGGCCAGTTGGGCCTCTGTTCGGCATCCCAAGCAGCATCTTAAACAAGGCTGAGACCCAGCATTTGGGAGTATGTGCTGCTGTCTTGATTTTATGCTCTGGCGGTCTTTTATCTTCTTTCTGGAAAGGGAGAGAGATTTGGGCGTTTGTGTTGCGTCTGTGTGAAATTTGGATTTAAAAACGGGGGGCACTCGGATCAGCGGTGGGGCGGGCAGGCAAAGTCCCCCCCCCCCAGGACTGAGATGGATTTGTGGTTTCTGATGTCTTATGCTCCAGATTGCAGGTTTTTCGGAGAGGGTTTTTCACGCTGCAAAGTCATCCCCTCTGTGGTGAGAGAGTGAAAGAGAGGCAGAAATAAACCGGAATACACACGCACCTTAGACAGGTGGACAGATGTATCCACGAAATATCTGTTTCTGTTTGAGAGGTGCAGATAATTTGAAAACATGCATATTGTAGATATATTTGCATTTGTATATACTGGTATTATGAAACAGATGTAAATATACACACACACCATATATAAGCACCCACCCTATCTATCTATCTATCTATCTATCTATCTATCTATCTATCTATCTATCTATCTATCTATCTATCTATCTATCTATCTATCTATCTATCTATCTATCTATCTATCTATCTATCATTTTTCTAAGGATAATTCTAAACTAAATGCAGAATTTTCTTTTTGGTGCCTGATGGAAAAGACGGCCAAGGGTATGTGTTTCACAGGCAGCTTTGGGTTTGCCCTCTTGTAGTGTCTGGAGGGGGAGGCGGCTGTTTTTTTTTGAGGCCGGTCCAGCCCTAGAAAAGCGCCATCTTTTCCTGAGGAAAAAAGGGTTGGCCACTTTGGCCGGAGTCCAGGAGCGTTAACGGACGGGGCTGAAATAAAAGCCATTCCTTCCCCCCCCCCTCCGGGTGATACTGAGATTTTTTTTGGGGGGGGAAGCTATTCACCCGGGATGCGGAGACAGGGGTGAGCTTCCCCTGTCGTTTGTCTTGGTCACTGGGCTCCCCCAGATAGACTGCCTTTGGACTGGGAGGCTCCGTCTGGCCCCGTGGTCGCAGTGACTTTGTAAATTTCTCCCTGCTGGTTCGGGTTTCGACAGCTGTTTTGGGAAACAGATCATTCTGGAACTCGGCACCTTGATAGAAAATCCAATCCTTACTAAAAGGTGGAGTAGACTCGGAAATTAAAATACGTGGTTTGTGGAAGAATTAGGAAGCTGCTTTTTTTTTACCAAATTGGATATCTAGATGCCCCTAATAAGTGACCAACAATCTGGGGCTTCCTGTATAGGAGTTTTTGCCTGCCTGGCCTGGGCGTTTCAGCATGTTGTACTCCCCTCTACCCCTAGTTGTCAGTTACTCCAGAGTTTCAATAAGTTTCTAGTCCTTAAGGCTCTAAAAGAGGAGGGAGAAATTTCAGGCCCTGCAGTCAAATCCAAACATTCAGTCTGACACTTTGGGGTTTCCTTGATGTCATAAAAACAGCTGGAGAGCTCAGGGCTTGAGGTCTCCGGCTGGGGAGCCCTAGGTTGGGAATTCGAATCCCCCCCCCACTGGGCCTCCTTGACAGGGGCTGGACCGGATGATCCTTACGGGTCCCTTCCAGCTCTGCATGACAGCAGATTAAAAAGGCCTTTTCTAAGCTTTCCTGACCCTCAGGCAGAGGTTTGTGCCCAAACACATTGGAATGTTATTCTTATTGGTCCTCCTGCCATGTCTTTCTCTGCCTGATCCTGGGGGTGATTCTTCTCTGCCTCAGTTTCCTGCCTGTGAAATGGGCACCCGTCTGTTTCTACGTCCGTATATCCACCTGTCTTGGCGCACAGATGCATCAAAACACTGGCCGCCGTTGCAAGTTGGGGTACAGCCTGGTCATGGGCATTCGATTTGAAATACAGTATATCTCTTGTTTTGGTAAACACAAGCTGTGCTTGTTAACTGTTATGACATCGCGAATAGATTGTTATGACATCCTTTAACCAGCAATTGTTTTTTGGTTCTGCTCCATGCAGAGACGTACCCACCTACCTATCTTTTCATCTTATCTGTCTGTCTGTCTGTCTACCTACCTACCTACCTACCCACCCTGCCTTGCAGGTTGACTCGTATTGGAGACCCAGACATGGAGGAGGCCCACGCTTGCCCCCCCCGCCTTGCATGGCCTTGTTCCGTATGCCTTTTGGGGAGGGGGCCACAGAGTTCGGAGAGTCTCGGAAATGGCCACCCTGAGATCCCTTGCAGTCAAGACGCTGAAAGCTCAGGAAACCCCCTTCCCTGTCTCCCACCCCCTGGGGCCACTTTATTGGCCAGGGTCAAGTTTTCCTCTTTCCCCCAAAGACTCACCTCCCCCCCGCCACTTCTCCTCCTCCTCCTCTCCCCCCCCCCCCCCACACC